CATATGGTACTAGGATTACCTCCAACAAATTTCATGAATTTTGGACTCATAAATAATTTATAAAAATTTATGCAAGGATTGACTATCCATAAAAGAAAAATCTATAACTCTAAATCTACCCATGCACTTGTCCCCAAATTTTTACCAGAGCTCACATATGCTAAGATTAGCTCACCACAAAAATTTCATAATTTTTGGAGCACAGAAACTCTAGATATAAAATAAACAAATTTGAATGCATTCAAAAGCACATTTCAAATCCTTATTTAAATCTCCAGAAATTTCTACTGTTGAAACCAAGAACATATTTTTCTTAAATACTACACTTCCTAAGGAACACAACCATATTTATTTCACAAATTTAGGAGCTACCAAACTGAAGATACAAAAATAACAAAACACACTTGAATCTGGAATTTTTGAACTAGCTTTCAACACTGCTGTCGCTGACCGGTGGGACCCGCTGGTCAGGTGACCCCACGCGTCATCGACTCGAAACAGGGTAGGTGGCGCTGCATCGTCACGGCGCGGCCAAGTTCGCCGGCGGCGAGCTTTACCGGCGACGGCACCTAGTCTACGGTGACCCTCTAGACCTTGCGCACCCATAGAGCTATCTAGGCGGGCGAATCATCGGCGCGAAGGACGACGGCGTCGGCCATGGCGGCACGACGGTGCTGCACGGCGTGTGCCGGCCGTCTCCGGCCACAGCGAGGCCAAGCAGGGCGAGCAATAGGACCACGGCGACCAAGCGAACCACACTACATGACCTAGGAGGCTTGAGGCACTCCACGGCACGGCCACGGCAACGCAGCCATGGCGGCACTCCGGCGAGAGTGCTCCAGCAAGCGCGCAAAGCGAGCAGCAGCCACCTAAGGTACAATCTCGGGCGAGGCAAGGTGGAAACGATGGGGAAGGTTGAGGCGGTTTTGAGAGAGCGACTAATTGGCGGATGTAATGGGTGGCTAGCGCAGCGAAGCTTCGGCGGAGTGTCTGCAATGGCGACGGCGAGGTAGAACGAAACGACCGACGCCACGGCGAAAGCAAGGAGGAGGCGAAATCGAAAAAAAGGAGGCACGGGCAGAGCGGGGCGGGTCTTTGGCGTGTTGAAGGCGCGCTTCGCCTGCCTTTGGCTGCTACCAGCAGAAGCGCCGACGACAGCATGCGCAGCCACGCTTCATACACGCGCTGCGACCACGGCTGAACCGGTCGGCCACTGAAGGTTTTGATTCAGTTCGTTCAGTGAACCGAAACCGAGCCTGACGACGGGTTATCATGTTGAGCAAACTCTTAATCCGTGGACTTCTAGCCAAAAGTTCCTAAACCGAATTTGTAGACCTATGTACCAGCTACAATACTTGTTCAAAGCACTTGTTCTAAATCGCAACAGAAACAGAGAAAAATCGTGCTCAAGGTTGGCTTGTCAGGCTATCAGGGTTCATGACTTAGCAAAATTTGCTAAGTGTTGAAATCAGTGATTTGATGATTTTTGAAATCCAATTTCACACATGTTAGGAGCTGAATCAGTCAAAGACCCAAAAATCAAAGTTGTTCCTTATGTCAAACACTACAACTTTGCTTTAATGAACTCCTCCATGCAAGGTCTCTAACACCTAGTTCAACTTTGGTCAAACATGTCACTTTTGAAAGATGAAACACATCAAAGCATGGCTTAATGACCAAACTAGCCCTAGCCCTAAATACCAAAGTTGTTCATGATGATACCCTAAGCATGTTTAAGCAATTTGCAAGGTCATTTAAGCATTTCATGTAGTAGTCACTCATAGGGCCATTTAAAGTAATCACATGAAATATGCCTTAAAGACTTGACCATGGAAAAATGACATTCATGATCTATGTTCCATTTGTGAACCTAAGCATTGCCAAAATATTTTGGTGACTCAAATCTACCAAGTACATGTTTACATTCAGGATCATTTGCATATATACAAAGAAACATGCAAAAATAAGCAAGCGTTGCATATGTTTCAAGAAACACGAGGTAATAAGCAATGCTTCAAATGTTTCCAACAAATGTTTCAATTGTAAATGATGATTTCTGAATGCTTGATGCTCATGCTCATGTTATGCAAGTCAAGTTATGCAAGGCTAACACCCGAGGTGTTACACTCAAACTCTTAATCATACCAGCGTATATCTTACATAGTATATATTGTGGCAATAAATATTCATCAGTTCCGAGATCTTCTACAATGAGCCGGGTTGCCAGACTGCCACCTGATTGATCCTCACCCAATGCAAACTGGAGCACCTTCATTTTCTCCTGCCAATAAATATACAGTTTATCATCAATCATTAAAGTATGATAAGTGTTCCAAATTACATATCATCATCATCAAAGTATGAAAAGTGTTTCTAATTGGAAATATAGCCGTACAACTACAGGCAATAGAGATGCTAGGAGCAAACACATGAATAATCCCTTGTTGCTACTATTAGAACTCCAATCAACCAATCCTGAGCCTCGTTAAGCTTTCTATAAAGCCGGGCAATGCCTTTCATCTAAAAAAAATCAACCAATCCTGATTAGATAGATGATCCTAAAAAGCCTCCAAATTTATGAGATTACTTATAATACTTCATGAGCTTTCTGTAAATGGTACCAAGTTCTTCAGATGATCTTTAAGGATTGTATTTGCTGGTGATCTGTCTGGTGCCTTGTTCTTTCTGTAAAAGATGAGAATGAAACATTATAAATGCAGTTGCAAGTCAAGTGAATGTATGCAGTCAAATATTAAACAGACATACTCTATATGTGCTGCATCCTGTATACTAGCTCACAATCTGTCTGTGTCAAGCACCATTTTTCTTCAATATTTGGTTCTACTAATAAAGCATGTCATCTTTCCACACAAGGTATGTGCTTGCACAATTAATCAACTATGCATAACTATGTAACATTCAATAATTAATTCTTCCACATGTACCAGCCCTCATATTTTCCTATACATTTGATAAGAACTTAGCCAAGAATCACACATTAGTATTGGTCTCCTCAGCCACTTGCGGCGTATCGCAATCACTCGGGTTAGTTATCGACGACGTTTCTCAATTCTCATCACAGGGTTTCAACGCCAGACAAATTCTGCATGGTCTCAGTTTTGCACAACAGGAAGGGAAGAGAAGGGGCCTGCGAACTTGGTGCGTGCTCATCACCGGCGAAGACTTGGGCAGGCTCCAACCTCCCTGCGCCGCCCTCGGCTGGATCGAGGCCAGGCGGCCTCCTCCGCGTCGCCCTAGGCCGGATCAAGTCCAGGTGGCCTCCTCCGCGTCGCCCTAGGCCGGATGAGGGCAGCTCTGGGGTCATCGCCCCTGTGCACGCACGAGGGCAGCCGTCGCTGCTCCGGCCGGGGGTGAGGGCAGCCGCCGCCCCGCCCCGGGCTCTGGACCTCTCCCTCTCGGGGCTCGATCTGGAGTGCAAGGCTAGGGTTTGACACACCGAGGAAGCCACTGCTGCGCTCGATAGGAGGATGGGGAGAAGGGGGAAAGAGGCGCAGGAGGGGGCGCTGGTGTCTGCAGGAGCAGTGGAGGAGAAGGTAGGGTTTCAGCAGGCTTTATTCGAAGTCTGGTATATCGCAGCCATCCATTTCATGATCCAACGGCTGAGAGAAAGAGGACTTTATTTGGGCTGAATCCGAGCATCATTTTGAGGCCCAACATAGTCTGAAGTTTTTTTCTTTTAATTTGTATAATAAATTTTGAAAATAATTTTGGAATAGTAAATTATTTTAATTGAACAAATCATCAACAACAAAGTTGTATAACTTATCGAGATCTACAACTTTTGTTTTGATCATTTCTCTATCTGCCTTTGTTTGAACCATTTGAAATTTGAATTTCAAAATATTACAACCTCAAGTAGAATTTTGGGACATACAATGATTTCAAATGGAAAAGTCAGCAACAACAGAGTTGTACAAATCATCGAGATCTACAACTTTTATTTTGGTCATTTCTCCATCCGACTTTGTTTGAATAATTTAAAATTCAAAATTTAAAATATAAGAACTTTGAACATAATTTTTGGATAACAAATGATTTCAAATGAAAAAGTCACAGACAACAAAGTTGTAGAAATCGTCAAGGTCTATAACTTTTATTTTAGTCATTTCTCTATCCAACACCATTCAAACAAAGTGGTAGTATACATGTTCATAATTGGATATATCTTCGTACTCTTCCCATATAACTATGTGAGAGATATATCAAATTTGTTAAAATCATTTGAGTTTTTATGTAACGATTAAGTAACGAAAACATGCAGCAATGTAAATTTGTATAACAAAGATTGCAACAAATTTTAAAACAAACATAATCAGATTGAAGTGTATTATCTCACCATATTTTAAACGTTTATGTGCATCCAATACTACAAAAGTCTTCATAGCTTAGTGGTAGTGTTGCAGACTCAGAACCCTGAGGTCTCAAGTTTGAGCGCCCCCGGGCATCTCTGTGGCATTTTTTTTAATTTTTGTTTTCAACTTGAACCCTGAGGTCTCAAGTTCGAGCGCCCCCAGAGCATCTCTGTGGCGTTTATTTTATTTTATTTTCAACTTGAACCCTGAGGTCTCAAGTTCGAGCGCCCCTTTTTTTTTTTTTTGAGAAAACCCCTCGGAGCACCTATGTGGTGTTTTTTTTTATTTTCCACTTCGAAGACTCACTTGGGCCGGCATGCTGCGGTCATCTTTAATATTTCCACCCTTGTTGGGCCGGCCCAAGCGCCTGTAGCCCATATCTCGCTCAAATGAGGACCTCCAGATGATGACAACAAAGTGTGTGAGACAGTCAAGTTCGGGCGCAAGGCACATGCACACGGAGCAAACTATTCTTTCACCTTTAGTAAAGATAGAGAATACCGTTTGTGCGCTGCAAATAGTAGCATACGCTAATTCTTGGAATTGGCAACAATTCAAATGAAAGTTGTCTTTCAAAAGTAAAGATAAATTGTCTTTCAAGAACATATCCGTCAATCTCAAGCCATCTCAAAATTCCTGTAATGCTCTAGTTTTATTGAATCTAACTAAATCTGGTTCCATGAGGGGAGTGAAAGTGATAACCACCCTCACTGTTAAAACAACAGGGATTGCAACCTGCACGAATGGCAAACATGATCAATGAGCTGATGCCACTGATCATTTGTTGAGTCCCTCGACTCATCCCTCTGTCCCTGCTGCAGCAGTGGCATATATGCATTTGCATGTTCTTCCAATCAAGTCCCTTTCTTTTGTAGGGATTAGTGTGTTAACTCTACCAGCAAATCCACCATTTCAGCAAACACTACAGTAGTAGTGTTATTTACTTCCATTCAGCTTACTCAATCGGAGATCAAGCTTCAAAATAGATAAATAACACACTGCAATTTACAGCTTCAAGGCACAATACATTGTAATTTACAGCTTCAAGGCAAAGGTATGGTCTACTATTTCAGGAGAGAATCACTCCAGAAGATAGTAACTGAGTAGATCACCAATACAGGCTGCTCTATGAGACAAACAGCAACACCTCAAGCAAGGTAACTGAAGAAACTAGATCAATAACCTCGGCAAGAACTTGAAAACCTCTGCAGTGAAGTGTGGAGAGGCAAATGAAAGCCGGTGACAGATGATGGAGACCGACTGTGGCTTCACGGCGGCGAGCAGGTGATGGAGAATGATCAGTCAGGAGACGACAAAAGGACGCGCAGAGTCATCTAGGACGTGATTCACTGGTGACACACACATGATCACAAACTATTGCTACACTGATTTGCCATACCACCTATATTAGTTCTGAAATGAAAAAAAACAAGTCAAGTTGAAGCATGAATTCTATGAAAAACTGATAATGTTAAGTCGAAGCATGAATACTATAGAAATAAAGCACCACCAAGTCAGACTTTTCAAATGTTAATTTAATTTAAAAAGATGAGAAATAATAAAAAGATGAGAAATAATAAAAAAATTAAAGTTAAAAATCGGATAGCAGCAGTTTGCGATTTTGTTATGTTTACCTTCAGCATTGACACCTTATCTGAGGCCTGAGTTGCTGGAAGCAGAATGCCTGAAATACAAAAGGCACAACAAGGTTATTTCTGGTAAGAGTTTGTTAGAAAGCACAACTGTTTTTCAGTGAAACTACTCATGATAGAGAATATCGGAACAGACGCAGCACATGATCGCAATCCAAACATTTCATTAGCTAGCTCTGAAGGTAAGAGCTATAGGAAATTGAACTCTGCCTTTCAGAACATTCCTAGTTAAAATAATTCACCAGTAAACTTTCTAGTAATAAGTATTTCCCTACAAATACAGTGCTCGCTGCAGCTTTTCTATGCTGCAGGTGTGGCTACAAACAAACAACTAAAACCTACTGTAGCTAATACAAGAAGCTGGAATCGACTTATTCATATATTAATGCAGTGACTGATCAGACCATGATCTAATACCAAAAAAATATGTTATGAAGCATGGCTGATTCAAATAAGTCAATTTAATATTCAGTGGCTGATCAATACATGAGCGAATCACTAGTATTCAGAATATGCATTGGCTGATCATTTTAACTGGACTTGCAAGTTCCTCTGAACCTGAGTTCACTTACTAGCCATGTACTAACTGATGATCATGTGGCAATGTTTAAAGGATATGAAAGAAAAGCTATATTCTCTAGTAAAGCGGCGAGTGTAGTGTTTCAGTTTTAGTTTAGTTGAGGGCAGCATGACAAGGTCCAACTAACTACTGGGCTTGCGCTTGAGTAGCATAACAACACAAGCATCACTTTAAATGAGTTATGCACCAACATACTTATTATGCAATAGCAAGCGGATCCTTGGCAAATCATATATCCAGCACATCTTCAGAAAGCTTTGTTTCCTACAAATGAAGAGTAACATTAGCCATAACTAGACAATCCTCACAGACAGGCAGTTGTTAGGTTTGATGAACATTACTCTTAACTACCTCTTCTCTCATGGAGTATGTTCCCCGATTGTGACCCTCACCCTTACACATGGTACATTTCACCTTAGATCTCTTCTTATTTGAAATTGACTTCAACTTTTTCTTCGGGGCCCCTCTGCCAGGAACATGCATGGGATCCAAGATATTTTTGGACTCTACAAAATCAACATCCAGGCCTTGCGGCAACACCGGACCATACCTATTGTCTCTGTTCTCTCCTCCGTTTGGCAGGATCATAGCAGCTTCCTCATGCAGAACATGTTTCAGCCGCTCATATGCTTTAGGTGAACGAGGTGCTACAAAGGATGCAGTGTGACTGATATTGCGTAGCTCATGGTACCTCTGTAGCCTATCGGAATAGTCATACATGGTGCTCTTCCTTATAGGAGGAAATACACTCTTGGCCCCCCTTGTCCAACTTTTCAAAACACAGTAGCCTGGAAGCTCGCGTTCTTTGCTATATCCCAATACAAAGAAGTTGTGTGAGCAGAAGGTTTCAAGGGACTGTAACTTAAGACAAGAACAAGAAATTCCCATCATGTTGCCTTCATCAACACATATCTCACATTCCACATGGTATTCTCTCTCCTTTATCCTCCCTGCCAACAATATACTTAATCGCATCATAGTCATCTAGAATCTTTCTCGCAAAACACTTTTTTGCTGCTTTTATGCTAAACTGCACCGTGGCAAAAATTCTTGGTGTGAACGATTTCGCAGCCTCTATCTCAATAATTGAAGCATCTGGTTCTAAGCATGGCAAAGAATTCGATGCTTCAAAGTCCAGATTCGCTTCATTACTGCGCAGCCGTGAAAGGCAGTGGTCAAAGTGCTCAACCAGCTCGAACAATGTCATTTTATGATCTATATTTACCTAAAGCCTAGAGTTTAGGCTCTCACTCCGCTGGTTGCTCCTCAGTCCTAAATAGCACTTATCAGCATGGTACGCAGCACACCAGATTTCTCTCCTCTCATACATCTGATACAGCCATGACTCCTTATCTGTAACGTTATGCTTATCCAAGAATTCCAGCCATTTCCTCTCAATCTCTTCTATGGAGCAACAATCATAAAGGAAATACCTGAAATCAGCCTTCACACCATCATCGTGAAGATTACGCACAATGTTCTGCTCAATATGCCATATGCATAGCCTATGCGATGAATTCGGCCACACCAGCCCGATTGCTCTCTGTATAGCAAGGTCTCCATCAGTGATCACGGAAACCGGATGCTTCTAAAGCATGGCATCAGAGAATGTGCTAAGAATCCACACATATGACTCAATTGTCTCCTGGGAAATAATTCCACATGCAAAAGGAACTATGCTGCCATGGTGATTCACCCCAACAAAAGGAACAAGGGGCAGGTTGTACCGAATCATTTTGTACGTGCTATCAAATACGATGACATCACCAAATGCTGCATAATCAAGCCGACATTGACTATCACACCAGAGCAGTCCCTTGAGGTGCCCTTTCCCATTAGTCTTGTAGTCGAAGAAGAAATTAGGTTCCCTACATCTGCACTCTGTCAGGTAACTGATGTCTGTTTGAGCATCACCAGCAGCAATTGTCTCCACCTTATTGCGATGGCAGAAATTATACAAGTCCCTTGTTGTAAATCCAACCTGATCATACCCACCGTACTGCATTTCCATAATATCCATTATCTGGTGTTTGTGGATCCTAGAAATCTGCATCGCCACAATATCAACTTTTTGCTCATCGCTGATTCCTCTATGTGAACGCAGAAGACAAGCAAGGTCTCGTTCCGCCATTGGATGGTTGTGTTCATAGATGAAATCCTTCACATACCACTGCCCTATGTTCTGATCCCATGCAATCACAAATTTAGCAGGGCATCCAACACGAGTAATATTCCGTGGCTTCCGCTTCTTAATCTCCCTCTTCAGCTCCTTTTTACGGAAACCTTGACAACTGCAAACAAACTTTCGAAGGGTGCTCTCATTGTGGCCGTTGCCCCACTCACAATAGCTTTTCCTAACACTAAATCCTTTCCCCTTAGTGTATTTGTTATAAAACAGATATTCTTCTGTTTCACTACCAAATATCTTCCTAATAATTTCATTGTACTCCAGCATAGAATCAAGACTCGACATTTCCTCCTGCATCAATCAGCAACATTAAATTAATTAAAATTCCACAGAACAAATTAAAGAAATTGAAAAAAGACATGGCCGTAGCGACGCAGCATAAAGCCTCATGTCCATGTTAACATTTTCAATTAAAAAAAACATAAGTATGCCACGCCGAAATAGTTGCATTTGCAATAGAAGATTAGTGAGTACATAATGTGCTAGAAAATTCTGTTCTCCTAAAGTATCAAGTGCTTCTCTATTTCTTAGAGATAGTAGGTGCCTAAGAGGTACATTCTTCCATTGCAAAAGGAAAAGTTATACAACAGCTACATCCATTTAGTTATGTACATTTGAGGATTGTATTTAACAGTAAGGTTTAGAAACAACCAAACTCTATACATGTTGGAATCTTGGGCTGTTTGCAACAAGAAGCTAAATTTGCAGGTATTGACTACTAACAAACGGTACTCTACCTAGTGAATCATCGGAAAAATTCAAGTTTTCTTAAGATAAAATCCTAAAAAATATATCAAGTGATAACAGGAACTTGTAGATCAAATGGCTCTCTTAATTATAATAGTAGATAGGATTTCTAGAATTTCTAAACTGATTCTGACAACCTGATATCTACAAAACCTTTAACAGAATGCACATCTAGTTTAGAAGTCAAGTTCCATCCATAATTAAGCTGGATTCTGATATGCCAGCACAAGACAAGGCATACCTTCATAAGTCAGCACAAGACAAGGCATAGCTTTTCCTCTGTAAGCTCTTGTCAGTTAATGCAAATACTACTTCATGATTTGATAGGATCATCTTACTTCTAGTTCTAGTAAAGATAGTCATACAAGTGAAGGGCTTTAACATACATGTCTAAACAATCATACAATTTAGAGCACCTTGTAATTAATACAGAGAAGGAAAATTAAACTAATGCAACCTTAACTAACTGTAATACTATAAAAGTTTAGGATCATAACCATAGGCAGGTTCCTTTTTCTTTGAAACATGATCATAGAATTCATCATGCTATCATATTTGGTAAATAAATATGTCACATACAAATATTAACATCTGCTCTTATGATGTCTGTAATGCAAATAGTTGCATCATCATACAACAAGAGAGAATCCATTCCTATAAGAAGACATGTTACTTCAATGTATTACAAAATTTCACCCAACAGCTAGCTGCTTACTCTAAAAACTAAACCAAGCGACCTCTGAAACTAATCACAGTCAGACCAACAACATCTCTACGGCAATCACAACGACTCTACTAATTAAACGCATACTCATCTGAAATCTTTTCCTACTTGATGTATTTGTTGCACTGCATCAATATATTCTCTGAGAAATTCAGAATCACAACAAGAGATAATCCATTCCTATAAGAAAATCTTGAAAACAGGCCACTTCCAGAACTTGCATCAGAAGCTTTGTTACGTGAAAATAAACAGGACTTGTCTGACACAACATCAACGGCCTGATAGCTGCAATGATCCCTGCTTGGATGCAACAAGCACATTTTTTTTCTAGCATGGACAACCCAGAAAGTGTTCTGGTCTTAACTAAAATACCATAATTATATATCTTTATAAGACTTGGTTGCAGGTTACTACCATACAAAGTACTGAGTACTAACTGATATAGAGCTCTTGAGTAAAAGAAAAGGGAGCTATTAATCAAATTTATTTTTCTCGTGGGGATAGATATTTGACAAATGCTTGTTGGACATTCTTGAAAATTTCTAAACCTTTTATACCTTAATAACATGTCCTTACTAGTAGCACCTTAGCAGCAGCATCTTGCAGCAGAGACATTCCAAATTTCAAATCATTAGAATTTTGTGATGCTTCAGTAATGCAAACATTCTGGACCGGAGCACCAATTATCCATCTACATAAGCCTAATTTTGGAATAATCAAATCAAATACGAGCTATACATGTACTAATTTGCCACAACTACACATCCAGATCTGAAAGGGAGAGTGGAGAGTGCAGCCGTTGGTGTGGGTTTGAGTGCTCACCATGAAGGGGAGAGGGTACCTCGAGGCCGGCCTCAGACTGGAGGGCATGGGAACCCGACAGAATCAAGGAAGGCGGCGATGGAGGCGACCACCGTGGCCCTCGTGCTAGGGGCAGGGGCGGCAGCGGGGCAGGGTCGCTGGCGGCGGCTAGAGGGAGGGAGAGAGCAGGGCGGCGGTGGTGGCTTTGGCGAGGGCGAGAGCGATGTGTGTGCTAGCGAGTTCGGCGTGGGGGCAGGGGGAGGGAGGGCGGGGGTGGGGAGTGAGAGGTGTGTGCGCAATGACCATGTTACCCTTGGATGAATAAAATCAACAAAAATGGCTATTTTGCAGAGGCGATCGGAGGCGATAGGAAGCGATTCCAACCATTGTAAAAGATCTCAAAATTATTAGTTTATTAGATCACACAAGTGAACTAAATAAAGTGATATAAAATTTAGACAACCAAAGTCGAACCAGATGATAAGCCGGACACCTTTACCCGGTCCATCGTTTATCCATTACTAACATTGGCTGACAGCTATGGCTATGAACGAAGCTCAATTTCCCTCCATGATTTACATGCAGTAGCACAAATTCATTTCAAATTCAGTATTCAGTCACAGTCAGGCCGTTTGCCTGGTCAAGAACACGAACGCCTGAACACTACTACATAATTAGTTTGTAGCAACGGCACATTTTTTTTGGTAGGGGTGGCTCACTCCACAGCCGCCCCTATAGTGCCCCCGCCGGAGTCCCACGAGCCCAGCCGCCCCTACAAATGGCATAGCAGCCGCCCCCACAAGTGGGTCGATTTGTTGAGACGTCTCACTCACCAGCCGTCCCTACTATTCAATTTGTAGGGGCGGCTCAATCACTAGCTGCCACTACAAATGCCGATGTATAAATAACTGCAGCCCCTTTTTCCTCCTCGGGTCACTTACTCCAACCCATGAAAAAAAGGTAGGGAGGCCTTGAGCACTTTCCAAAAATTGCTCTACTAAGGGGGAAGGTTTTGGTCTTATTTCTTTTGGTGGAGAGGTTGTAAAAGGTAAGAAAATGCTATTCCAAATATTTTTTTGAAGTTTTAATGGTTGGTTATTGAGTAATTAGAGTTTTTCTTTTCTCTCTCTTCTATGGTGCTTGAGCCATGTATGAAGCAAATTAGACCCTAGTTTTGAAGGTACTAGGGTAAATTAGTTAGAGGAATAATATTACACTCTTTATTAGTCGATCTTTGTTGATTTTAGTGGACTATTAGTAAAGTTTTATGGATGTGTCATATAGATCTAGATCTAGATCTAGGTCTAGGGTTTGTTTTTTTTATTTTTTTTGTAAATTTTTGTTTATCGAAATGGGACTAAGTTTGCATGAAGGTTAGTGGGTAAAATATTAATTGTTGCTAATTGTTGTCTTTGAATTTGTTTATTGTAATCAAGAAATGTATATTTTTAATTAGTTATAGATAAATAGGTCATTAATTAATTATTCTCTAGCATGGTGTTTGATATGCATCATATCATTATATTTGCTAATAGGATCAATAATAATTATTTATTTCAATGAATTATTAATTTGATTCATGTATATACATTAATATATATCCGAATAATTAGTCCTTTAATGTATTTTCTTTGATTGTTGTTGTAAAAGATGGAGTACATGAAGTCTTGGATGTATGGTTCGTTAAGGTGGAAGCCAGGTTTCCGTGAGGAGGTGGATAAATTTATTGAAGCTGCAAAGAACCATGTAATGACATTGACATAGAATAAGGATTCAGTTATTTGTCCGTATCACGATTGCAAGAACCATATAGCGTGGAGAGATGTGGATATCATCAGATCACATTTGATTATGCGAGGATTTGTTGAGGACTACACTGTGTGGATTCATCATGGTGAAATGGTTGTTGTTAACAATGATGATAATCTAGAAGACGACAACGAAACCTTAGAAACCCTATCCCAATATTTAGCAGAGCTTGATGCACGAATGGATCTCGAGTTTGGCAATAAACAAGGTGGTGATGCTGGTGGTTGGGATGGTAACGACGAAGGTGGTGCCAATAATGATGCAGAGTACATGTCGGGGATGAAGATGATTTTGATGATTTGGAGGACTTGATTCAGGCCCTTGACCAGAGATTTTACTAAAGAGCCCGAAAGGTCTAGAGAATTTGGAAAGGGCTAAAAAAGCATCGAAGGAGACTATGTATGGTGTTAAAAAGGGTTGTCTGACACACTGGACATTGCTACATTTTGTGCTTGAGCTACTCATCCTGAAGGCTAAGTACGACTGGTTAGACTGTAGTTTCAATGATCTATTGCATCTCCTATCATGGTTGCTGCCACAGCCAAACTCAGTTCTCGCCAACACATACCAAGCGAAGAAGGTTATAAGTCCATTGACAATGGAGGTTGAAAAAAAATCCATGCATGCCCCAACCACTATATCCTTTTTCATGGCGACATGTTCAAGTCACTAGATAAATGTCCCAGGTGTGGGGCCAGTCGGTACAAGAAGAATGACCTTTACGACGGGGATGAAGCCTCCATGGGGAACAAGAGGAAGAAGGGTGGGAAACGGTGGTACAAGATTCTCAACCCTCAGAGGACACTCCATTAGGCAATGATGCAAAGCAGAGAAGAATTCCTGCCTTGGTAATGTGATACCTGCCAGTGGTCGACTGCTTGAGGTGTATCTTCTTAAACCCTAAGGGAGCCGCATTCATGACATGCTGGGATGATGAGCGCAAGGTGGTTGATGATGTGATTGCACACCCAGCTGATGGTACTCAGTGGCAACGCTTCTATGATAAGCACAAAGATTTCAGCGCTGACCCTTCGAATGTATGGTTTGGCTTGAGCACCGATGGAATGAATTCCTTCAATGAGAGGAGCAACGACCATAGCACATGGCCAGTGATCTTGACCATGTACAACATCCCAACGTGGCTATGTTAGAAGAGAAAATACCTTCGCCTCACTATTCTCATTTCGGGCCCAAAACAAGCAGGCATTGATATAGATGTGTTCCTCGAGCCTTTGATGCAAGAAATGGAGAGGCTATGGAGGTATGGGGAGCTGATGTATGATGCGTTTCGAAAGAAGGACTTCATATGTAGAGCCATGATCTTTGTTACTACCAATTATTACCTTGCGTGTTTGCTTTGTCTAGATAGATCAAAGGGAAAACAGGATGCTTAGTCTGCCTAGATGGTACTACATGGGTGTACCTGTATGCATCCAAGAAAACAGTTTACCTAAGGTACCAACGCTTCCTAAAGACAAATCACAAATACCGCAGCAAGATATACTTCAGATATTATGACAACAAGCTGGAGAATGAACCCCCTCTGGAGAGACGTAAAAACGGGCAACACATGTTCGAAATGGTGAAAAACATATGTGTCATCCTTGGAAAGAAGAATTCGGATGGGACAAACAAAGATAGAAGCACACCTCCTGTCGCCAGCGTACCTTTCAAGAAATAGTCAATCTTCTTCCAGTATCTGCCTTATTGGCTAGACTTGGAGGTCCCCTATGCCATTGATGCTATGCACGTGCTGAAGAATGTCTTTGAGAGTCTCATTGCTTCCTTGATGGATAGAGGCAAGACAAAGGATGGTCTAAAATCATGGAAAGACATGGCACAGCTAAATGTGAAGGCAGAGCTTCACCCAATACCTGAGGGTAATGGAAAATACACTCTGCCTACGGCTAGCT